CTACCGCCCCAAATGTGTAGGTAGGGTAACTTCTTTGCGTGTTTTAACAGAACAAGCAGATCTATAGTCTCATACCTTAACCTCTAGATCTCTGTCTGCTCAGGCGGGAAGAAAGGACACAAAAAGTTTGCTCAAATTGATGTTGTAAATGGGCGATCTCAACACTAAATGAAAGGACGGACGTAGAAATGCTTCTTGCTTTTCATGCAGGTGGCTGGGTAAGAAACACGAATCCATATTTGATACAGATTGATTCTTAATGATATATCGTGTTATTATTATTATTTTCTAAATTATATCAAGTGATGCTTCTATTGACTAAATCTGTTATTTCGTGAGATAAACGTTTTTACATATATACAGTGTAATTCTCACAAGTACCTGGTGAGTACAACTAACGATAACTTGTCATTATCAGTATTCTGTTTTATAGTTCGTGTGTGTGTGCCTAGCTACATTATAGATTTTTCCAGAGATTCAATTCTGTAAGATATAAGGCAATGGAATGACATTTGATATCTTCTTAGAGTTTCTATAAACACCAGCGATATCTCTCTATTAAACATCATTTTACGAACAATATAATTAATTTACGACATTACTCAAAACTAGCTAAATGTTTGCTTTCTGTAGACTTGAACACAATAACTTTGTTCAATCTTCAGTTCGTAGACACTGATTTGTTTTGTTTTGAATTTCGCGCAAAGCTACACGACGGATATCTGCGCTAGCTGTTCCTACTTTAGCAATGAAAGACAAGAGGGAAAACAGCTAGTCATCACCACCGCCGCCAACTCTTGGGCTACTCTTTTACCAACGAATAGTGGGAGTGACCGTCACACTATAACACCCCCAAGGCTGAAAGGGCGAGCATGTTTGGTGGGACGGTGATTCGAACCCGCGATGGCGAGTCGATTGCCCTAACCGCCTGGCCATGCCGGAGCAGTAGCCATTGAAACAGAAGAGTAATGAAAGTTACTGCTCGTGGTTCGGCTTTAAACTTTTACTGCGTGGGTGATAAATTCAGGTGTAGCAAACCCATTAATTTTCTTTACGGACTGACTTTCAAAATATTCATTCAATCCTACACATTCAAGAGCCAACGCAGCGAAGAGTAGCTTGAAGTCTTAAAACGCCAACATTCAGAGTTCGGTCCCTGCATTGAGCACAACGAAGGTAGCGCGTTATACGACCTCACGCCAATAAATTAGTACAAATATTTTTTGTTTGTCACATAAGAAATTAACCAATGTCGTTATTATGTAAGTTTTTGGATTTAAAGTTCAGAAATATGTAGTTCTGAACATCACACTGCAGATGGACCTGAAATTAGCAGACATGACCATAATGATATGCTGTACACAATAACACAAAAAAAATCAAATTCTCCACCAGGTGTAGCATTATTGCATTCTAATTAGTAGAAGTGCTTTATTAAGGCTGTTTTGAAACTGTGAATCCGATGGTTTACGATTTGCATCTCGTTGCCACAAAAATGTGTTCCGCACTTTGGGATAGTAGTTATGCTCTAAAAGAGCTGGTTTTTATCCCACTCTTCGATCAGATAAGAGTGGCCCAAGAGTTGGCTGTGGGTGTTGTTGACTAGCTGCTTTATTGTATCAAGCAGCTTAAAATTAGAGACGGCTATATGCAGATAAGCCTTATGTAGCTTTGCATTTTTCACAGCATTTAAGTTAAGCATTTTTCACAGTGAAATGACTCCATATCATTTGTACTCGAGTTAACGTATTCACTCACTTTATCCCAGAGTTCTGTTTTATTCTGCTTTTCGGTTGTGGTCAGTTGTACAGAAATATACTGATTACTTCATAAGTCGAAATATTGTGCAATTAAATTTTAGATAATAGACATAAAGATCAAATGTTTATTAATTTTAGAATAAATGTATTATGAAATACTACAGCTTAACTGTGTCATTCGCTATTGAATTATTTTTTTTCAATCACGCTTTTCCACATAGTAAGGAAATATGAAAAGTTGTTACTAACGTAGGCCTAACATATCACAAGTAACACAACAAACATATTTCAGGCAGTCTGGAAGATCGCGCACCTGAAAATATTGTGTTAGGTTTATTGAGTTAATACATTATCATGGGTTAATATTACTTAACAGGATATTGTCCTTCTATTTGCAATATCTCATAGAACCATCCTAGCAAAATCAAGAAAATGCAGTTATTTCAGTAACTTTAGATTGCAGTCACGTATTATAAGGAAGGTTTAAGCTGGAATATTTGCATACGTTTAAAATAAGGTGAATAACAACAACTGTAATTGGAGAAATACAGTTCTACTAAGATTAATTACAGTTTTACCTCATCGATCCCCCCCTCCCATTTCAAGTTAAAACAGGGTATGTAACGTCTTGACCACTCTGGCTACGTAACTCTAATAATTGAAAATTAATCATGGTCATATAGAAAAAAAACGTTGTTTTAACTTTTAACGAACAAGACTTTAGTTCAACTGAAAATGAAATTACAAATGTAATAAAATATTTTGATATAAATGACACTTCTTGTAAACTACTAGATAAGATAACAATGTTTACTGGCATTTGTTTGTTTGTTGGTTAGCTCGAAGATTTATAGTAAGCTCTCTGTGCTAAGCCCACTGGAAGTATAAAAACCCAATTTTCAGCGTTATAAGCCCTAAGACTTGCCGCTGAGACAATGTCTATATTTTGTTAGTATTTTTTACAGGTGTGTAGTTTATTCAAAATGGATACCATGTCCAAATCAATCCTAAAGTAAAAAATATTCCCCCTAAAGCAGTTACAAGATTAACCAAGACAACGAGAACTTTACAAAAAGAAAAAGGACCTACCACATTCAACGTGAAGCTACTTTTGAGACATTTGTATACTAAGGAAGAATAGACAAAAAAAATTAAAAATTACCATACAGAAATAATGATTCGTTATTTCAATATATCCTAACATTTGTTTTTTCGGATGTTTTCGCTAACCTATTTAAAGGGGACCCGGCATGGCCAGGTGGTTAGAGTGCTCGACTCGCAATCTGAGGGTCGCGGGTTCGAATCCCCGTCCCGCCAAACATGCTCGCCCTTTCAGCCGTGGGGGCGTTATAATGTCGCGGTCAATCCCACTATTCGTTGGTAAAAGAGTAGCCTAAGAATTGGCGGTGGGTGGTGATGACTAGCTGCCTTCCCCCTTGTCTTTCACTGCTAAATTATGGACGGCTAGCGCAAATATCCGTCGTGTAGCTTTGCACGAAATTCAAAAACAAACAAACAAATATTTAAAGAGCTATCTGCGTTATAAGTCCCTAGTTCTGAACTAATAAACTAGATGAAAGACAGCCAGTCAACAACACTCATCACTAACCCTTGGGCTACTCTTGTCTGACCTTATAGTGGAATTTCACTGTCACTACTATAACGGACCCACAACCCAAAGTGCGTAGCGCAACATTTTTTTCAGGTGACTGAACGAGAACATTGGACCCACAGTGCCACAACTAACAACTTAGTCAAGCTCTGTCCAACATTTGTTAATAGCTTAACATTTCCTAATGAAGAATTTTTAACTGTATAATGTAGAGCAAGCAGTTCATTTGCTTATTATTATTAAATTTAACTTCTGTTAAAATGTGCACTAAAAGAGGTAGTAATTTCAGTCAGGGAAGTGAAACTTCGTGCAGTAACTTTATATCAGGGGAGTGAGACTTCGTGCAGTAACTTTATATCATTAGAGTGAGACTTCGTACAGTAACTTTATATCAGGAGAGTGAGACTTCATACAGTAACGTTATATCAGGGGAATGAGACTTCATACAGTAACTTTATATCAGGAGAGTGAGACTTCGTACAGTAACTTTATATCAGGGGAGAGAGACTTCATACAGTAACTTTATATCAGGGGAGAGAGACTTCGTACAGTAACTTTATATCAGGAGAGTGAGACTTCATACAGTAACTTTATATCAGGGGAGTGAGACTTCGTGCAGTAACTTTATATCAGGAGAGTGAGACTTCGTACAGTAACTTTATATCAGGAGAGTGAGACTTCATACAGTAACGTTATATCAGGGGAATGAGACTTCATACAGTAACTTTTTATCAGGGGAGAGAGACTTCATACAGTAACTTTATAATCAGGAGAGTGAGACTTCGCACAGTAACGTTATATCAGGGGAAATGAGACTTCGTACAGTAACTTTATATCAGGGGAGGGAGACTTCATACAGTAATTTTCTGTCAGGGAAGTAACCCATATAGTAACTTTTATATGTATGCAAATAAACGTTTTTTAAAAGTACAGAAGATCTAAAGATGGCGATTTTGGTATGAATTGGGCCACAGAAGAGGGAACGTGTTTTTGCAAAGGAATGAATCGCAGAATTTAGGATAAATATAGAATGTGCTACAAGATTTCAGTGAAGCGTTGTACTAACTTATGCACCATAATTTACTTCTCTACTACAGTTAATATTACTTTAAGCACATTACCCAGCATCTTCGTTTTCTGACACATAACCTGCATACTGACATCACAGAAATGACCAATCATGTACAAACTCATAACAGGAAAAGGGAGACCATTCGTTCGATTAGGTTATGAAAAAACTTTCTTATTACATTCGTTCTAGACTACTGTAATCAATGCCTATAGATAAACTACGAATTGTAGCTCCCGAGTCGTGGCCACCACTCAACAAAGGGTTAAGCCCCTATAACAGTAGAGGGTTTTACTTATTACAATGTTGAAGGTCATTAGTTATTTATTCTAGTATTAATTATCCATGACTTTGATTATATTTTAAGTTGCCTTATAACTGTTCTGTAGCATCCACTAAAGTTTTGATTTTGCTCTTGAGAAAATAGAAGAAATACTTAAGACAAATACTAAAATGACTATATTAGCAAAACCTAGTGATTAGATAGTGATGTCTGTATACAATTTAGTTTATTAAACTTTATTTGTTAATAAACATTTATATTTAACTGAAACGAGACCTAGTTATCTGCTGTGACACATTGTCAAGACTATCAGTGGTGTTCGTGTCTCCCGTTTTCGACTCTTCACTGTTTCGAAGACTAAGAGAAGATGCACTATCATCATGGCCACTGTACAACATCTGTTTAGGACACTTCTTCGATGCGAGTCTCTTAACGTCTTCTACGCCATCTGTTCGAATGTCTGGATCAATGGGGTTAACGTGTTGATGACGTAGACGGTAAAACCAAACGTTCGACATAATACCCTGCTAAGGAATATACACAGAGACTAGCTAAAGAATTTTTAACGATACGTTACCAAACTAACTCCACCACTATTATCATATATTTATTCAATAAGTGTGTGTAAAATTATGTGAAAATTAAGCGGTTTTTGATGTATGTCTAAATCAACATCTAAGATCACGAAAGTGAAAAATATTCCAAGTACTAATTAGACAGGACATCAATATAAATGTTCTTAATTAGGAGTTTAAGCGTAAAAAATACCTATATACTGCAAAACCACGTTCTGGCCTAAGAAGCAAAAGACAAAAAAATCGTGAAAGTAAATTTGATTCAAAACGTTTAATCCTAAACTAACAGTTTAGAACTAAACGCAATCGGGGATATTCAGAAAACTTTTCTCTTCATCCCCACTCAAGATATAAAAATAGGATCGACTGCGTGAAAAAACAACAACAACAACAACAACAAATAATACTTCATACTGATTAGATATGTCATCTGTTGTCGAGCAAGCAAAGGTAAGAGAACCGAAGGCAGCACAGGAGTGGGAGTAGCACACAAAACCAACGGGTGGGATCTATAGATCCAATACCCAGAATTGTGATGTGGGAGGAAAACGGGAGTACCTCAAGAAAAACCCGTTTTCACTACCCGGCCTTAGAAGCAGTGATTGCAAGTTAACATATAAGACCAATTATGTAGGTTAAATGTTCAACAGTTCGAATTTAACACCAGCTGGAAAATAAACTTCAGTTCAGTATCTTTTAAATTAAACCGTAGCATAATGGCTAAAATCGCCACCAGTTATTTCTAAAAATTTAGACTCTCTTAGTTTGAATAGGCGTAATTATCAAAGTGTCCTCACCTTAGTTAGAACACGCGTAATTATCAAAGTGGTTTCCAGTTCGAAGCCCAAGGCCAAAAAATCTTAAGTTGACATAGTTTTCTTTTGTCAGCAGTCAAAAAAGAAAGAAAAAAAAAAACATGAACGAAACTCTTGGTGGGGATTCGGGAAACGAGAAAACAATTATACATACATACAATTATATACATAGGCATAAACAACTGGCTGACAATGTCTGGACGAGCAAATGAGGTCAGCCGTAAAGGTGTTGTACGTTGTTCAACTATAAGCAACGGGGATCAACGCATTTAAAGCCAAAGCATTTGATATGGGAGGGGGGAGTGCTCCGAGAAAAATCTACTTTAACTGGGCGGCGCATACTGGAAACTGAAATTTAAGTAAAGAAAAATAAGAGAACACTTGAACTTTAAATACAGTAAATTAAAATATGATAAACATTTTGTTCAGTAGTGTATACTGCACTTAGCAATTTCAATGCGACATCTAGCGATCGCGGACTGCGGATCCTTGATATATCATCTGTTACTTTGTTTCCAAGCGTATTAAGACCAGAGCAATAGTGTGGATATGCCTCAAATAACAGAAAATGGTAACAAAACTCGCTTCATAGTTAGTCTAAGATAAGTCATCAAACTGATAAGCTTCCGACATCAAAGTTCAAGGTTATATCGACATTTAGCAAAAAAAAATGTGTTTTTCTGTATTTTTGAAATGCCTGTAGCAATATTACCTAAGAAAAGATAGTTCAACAAAAGAAGGTTTTATCAAACTAGCACCATCAGCATAAGACATGGAGCAGCTTATAACTTGGAATATTAGGTTTTCAATCATGTATATTTTCCATGTTTCTTTGGGATCATAAATTTAAACGTCTTTTGACTCAAAAGTTAAAAAAAAAATGTGTAAGCGTGAGAGTTAAAGACTTAAGAAACAAAATTTAAATAGAAGTACAGAAAACCTATAACCCATTTGCGAAAATTTGATCTTGAATGCGTAGAATATTAACCTTAAAACATATCTGAGAAGCTAATGGAATTCAGATTCTGGAACTTTCGTGAAATATATACAGAAAAGTGTAATTTCTTAACGTTTCTCTGTATAGGACCTACTCGTTTACTGTTCAGTATTTGAAAGAATAGAACATGTTCAAATTATCTTTATAATCACACAAATATCACACCTTTAAAGAAAAATAAACAGTAGATAAAACAACTTATTTTCCCTATACTGTCATCTCATCTTAGCGTGTTGTTTTTTTTGTCTTTCTAATACACTTCCAACTCTCTTCACAAATGTTGTCAGTCACTCAAAAAAAAACACAAAAAAAACGTAAATCCCAATCAGTCCTCTTTGTAAAAGTGTTGACTTCTATAGAAATTACCCGTAGATCATGTGTTTCTTCTTCAAACATCTAGTACTGATTAGTTATATACACAGATCAGGCAATTTGAATATCTGGAACTCATTATATAGAATACAGTGTTTCCATTGCATTTATAGTGGAAAAGGTATATGTATACATATATCAAATTACATTTTCTTGTTCTATGGGAAATTATGTATATGTTGAAGAATAATACATGAGAAAGATTAGACTGCAACTCTAACTTAGTTTAGTTGAAATATTTGTTTGAATTTACTTAAACATGTTCTGGTTTAAAGTCATAAGAACTATGTAATCGGCAAGTTTCTAGGGGATCTTTTTTTTTTTGACAACGTTCGAAAAGAAATCTCAACTATCACTTAAAACAACAAATAAGCGAGATAAGTGATATTTGGGTTTGAATCCATAGATAAACTCAATTCACGGTTAAAACATTAACAGTTGATTGCTAGACTTTTATTCCAATAGTGTTTGGAGAATTAAATTATTCATATTGTTTATTTTTGTTTTTCTTTTATTATTTGGGACGTATGCAAATTATTGATGGCAATTTTGCGAAAACGCCTCTCTCTCTCTTTTGTTTTTATAATTAAATAATTAAAACAAATTATTTTGTATATTTTACATTGAAAGTTGAAGTCGAAAGTTTAACGTTTTTCCTAAATTGTACAAACTACTGTAATATAACACTGACCCCCCGCTTTTTTTTTAGGAAATACTAAAACGTAGACGTTAATGCTTGAATGAATAGTAATAAATCAGACTGTGGCAGCATACGTAAACTATTTTCTATCACTCCTTTTGACTTTGTTGATTTTCTCAGCAAGCCAGATTCCAATGTTATTCGCCAACACTAATATTCTGATGGAATCACCTAGTTACGTGACGTTTTTGGATGATTTGTTTTGTTGCGTGTTTGTTGAGGTTCAATTTTAGTCATACGTTTAATTCAGTTTTAGTTATGTTCTTTTGCTACTTCCGTGAGCAAATATACATAGTAGGAAGTATAGAAAATCAATACCAAGGTCCTTCTGCGACTTCCTTTCATGGAAGCTGGAAATATTTTAATTATAACTTTCCGTGCACCTGATTAAACCAGTATGCGTGTGAGTTTGGTTACAACGTAGAAAAGGAAACGAACAATGTTTTATACAAGAATACGTGGAGATTTTGTTAAATACATATCGCAAATTTGGCCATATATCTCAGAATAAATCATAGCAACTTTTGGAGAGTCTTGTATGACCCTGGAATGAAACAGTTTATTAGATTATTTGTAATTAAGAACAAAACTATACAGCGGGCTATCTGTGCTCTGCCCAGTAGGGGTACCGAAACCTAGATTCTAGCGTTGTAAGTCCGCAGACATACCGCTGTGCCACTGGGGGGTGGGGGGTGAAACATATCGATCCATAGATCACCATGTTTATTTGCTTTTATATAGATTTTACATCTTCTGATCATGATTTGAACACTTGTTTGTTTGCCTCATTCCTAAATCACCATATTCTATGTTCATCTACACTTAAGTTTCTATTGTTTTAGGATAAACATTTACTTTTCAAAAAATGTTCTTAATAAAGTGAAACCTGTCCAATACTTTATATTAAAAAAATACATACTTGTTTAATGGTTAAAATTTCTTCAAATCAAGTCTTATAACTCAGAAAACATTATGCGTTTCTATAGAAGTTTGATTCGTTCTTCACCAGTTGCAATTTTAACTGTTTGATTCTGTCACAAACGATTTATTTTTTCAAGGGTTGAAAGCATCAAACCTTTTTGTTTTAATAACATATGTATTCTGGTAGTTGAGGTTACAAAAGTTATAACCTTAGCATAAAACATGTTTTCTCTAAATATGGATTTACTTGTTTAACACAGAATAAATAAATAAGTTTGCGAAACAACAGTAGGCATTATTTGAGCACGACTTAACATAGTTTGTTTTTATAGCGCATGCATCGTTTTATTTTTTCTCGCGCGTGTTTAAGCAGACAACAGGGTGACTTTAGAGATAGAGTATAACATCTGTCGCGCCAAATTTCCGTTTTGTTAAGTGAGCCTTTTAACTACACTGGTACGTATTCTATATTGTGCCAGAATAAACTAAATTTCACATTCAACCCCATACCCACATGAACATATATGCTAAAACACAAGCTTTAGAAATACCATATTTCAATAAAGGTGGCTAGCCTTGTTGACGTATCTTTATTTAATAATACATTTAACAGTAGCTGCTTGAGTCTGATGTAAAACGAAAACTTGTTAAAAATAGTTTTATGAGAGGGGGAAGACATCGAATCTTTGCCTTTTACATGTTAGTAATACTGTAACTCAAGAATTTGCTGTTACTTTTTGCTGAAATCTAAACATCTCGATACAAAACTACTTTAATTTAAGTACATATGTTTAGACTTTTTAATTATCGTTAATTTATATCAGTGTTATTACATTAATGTTTAACTATGTCATCAGTTGTCTTATGTGAAACTTAGAATATTATAAAACTTACATCACATACTTAAAAAACAATTACAAATCTCCGTGATGACTAAAAGCTGGTTACTCACTTAATAAAAACAAAATTGGTAAGGTAAGTAATGTCATCGAACAATGTTTTAAAACAGACATAGAAGAAGAAGGATCATGGATATACGAGTAAGAGAAAAACCAAAATAAAAATAAAGTTTAGATAAATCTTTAATTTTTCTCTTTCAAAGAATACTTAAAGTATTTTTTTTTTATAAATGATACACGAAAACCGTCGGCACTTGACGAAACTCCATAAGTATAGAATTGAGGAAAAAACAAGACAATTGTACGTTTAATAAATACATAATTTATTACGACCATGGTTTCGCCAGATGATGTATTTGTGAAACGTACAATTGTCTTGTTTTTCTCAATTCTATTTTTTTTAAATTAAGTATAATTAATTCATATATATATATT